AATGTAGCCTACGTACAGTAAATAGCTCCAGATCCAAACCCTTTAGCACTGTCACATGCAACACACATGCACAGTTTACAGAAATACAAAAATACATAGAAGAAAACACAAAGTTTCAGCTATAGCCCTGCTTATCACTCTCCTTCTGATATCTTTTTAGTAGCTATACTTTTACAGTAAAACATGTGCACTGTTAATGCAAATTTTGCTGTATCTAAAAGGATTCATAGGGAGTAAACATACTGTATCTATCTTGTTTTTATTCAGTAACATGTTTTTGTGTCTTGCTCACATTACATTGAAAATCAAACTTCAAACATTGTTATCGCCTCTCCTCGAATCTGTTCTGAAACTTGACCTGGTGTCCTCTGCTTAATTTCACGGAGATAGATGGAGATAGATGGAGATAGATTTAAATCCATACTAAGCACTCATGGACATGTGGCGTACATTAAATACCTTAAAGCATTTGTTTATATTTAAGAAGCCAATCCGATCATTTTATTCAGGAACTACTCCCAGCATACTGCCCTAGTGATTTGATTTGAGCGTTACAATTCAATTTCCATGCAACTGTGAATTCAGAATGGATTTTCTTGTTTTGAGCGGCGAATCAAAGTTTAACACAGAGACATTTGAGTTCACTTGGGCGCCTCTTTTACAGCTGTAACCAAAGCAGAGGCAGAGACACAGACACAGGCATTCGGGGCTGTTCTCAGGTCTATTCTGAGCCAACAGCAGCTCCAAATATAACCGGAGATGTGTGAGTGAAACCTGAGTCTGAGCTGGGGTCTGGGGTCTGGGGTGAGCGTGGGGACTGGGGTCTGGGGTCTGGTCCTGGGCTAACTCTGTGACAGCTGAAGACTCAAACAGGTGAAGCTCACTTTCTCCTCTGAATGACAATCTGGAGCCTCTGTGGCACCTACAGTATGAGTCAACCCCACAAAACAGGACAGGGGTGAAGTGTCTTGCCCGAGGGTGTGTCCTGACAAGGGTGGGACCCAGTCTGAAATTGGACTGTAGTTGTTTAGTCGATTAATTAGTTGCTGGTGTCCTAGTCAACCAAAATTTGTCTTTGTTATGAGGACAAACATAGTAAGAAGGCAGATTAAACTCATGACTTACAAGTTTAATATGTCTTTATACAAATACACTGTTTCCTAGTATATTTATTCATTTATTTTGCCTAAATAGTTGTTTTAGGATGAACTCTTATGCAGGTGTAGTCTTGTGAGTGCAAAAGATTTTAAAAGCTTTACCCATGCCCCATTTTTATTCAACTAACTGACCAGCCTTTTTTGTCTTACAGCCTTAGTCTAAAAGGCTTTATGCAAAATGTCCTGCACTGATTTTGTTTGAAAAAATAAATACAATAGAATGGAACTATGGGGTTTCCTGCCCACGTATTCTCGTAAATGAGCAAATTTGGTGTTTTCTCAGAAAGACTACAATGTACAAGCAGCATTCAGTCAGACCACAGCGCACTGTTTGTATCCAGTACAATCCAATAATAAATAATTGTATCTGCTGGTCCATCCTGCTTCACTTTCATTCTCAGAAAGCTGTTCTAAAGCTGTGACTATGCCCCAAAAATCCACACACGTGAATGTTAACAATGTTCACAACAAGAGGAGAAAAAGCCACAACAATTTAAAAGGAATGTACATGTTTAAAAACCCAGATTCAGAACCAAGGTTATGGAGCGAAGCGTCGATGTGAAAGGAGTTCATTTATGGAATAGTCTTGAAAAAGATATAACAGAATCAAGCACAATGATGGCATTTAAAAAACATATACAACTGAGTGCAATGTATGAAAAAGGAAACTAAGTTGTTGTGCGTAACAGTGAAGATTTGCAATTGATTGCAATTATGATTGAACTGAAATTACTTATTGACTGAAATGTTTAAATGAATATTTTTAAATGTTTTAAAGTGTCTATCAGTGTTAAAGTATTGTCGGGAAAAGGGGGCAGATAACATATGATTACTCTTCTTTCTGCTCCTTTTCATTCATTTCTTGTATGTTTGATGTTGTGACACTGTTGATGTCTTGTGAATGAAATAAATAAACAAATAAATAAATAAAAAATGTGTTGTACATTAGGAAAAATTAACTCATGTTATAATGTTGTTATCTCATCAAAAACAGACCTGGAGTTGTGTTTTGTCTCATTCACACACGTTTGAGTAATCCTTTATTATTAGTTTGTCTACATCTCCAAAGCTCAAAATGCTCTGTTCAACTTTGTGATGTCATGAAGTGGTAGTTTTCAAGTTTACACCCATCTTTTATCTTTTGTTCAGTAGAGATTGGCAATTCCAGGGATGAAATTATGACATGAGTCTGGTGAATGTGCGCAGAATTTAAAAAGCACTTTCTGTATTACTACATGACATTGTAAATTGGAAGAGTGTTTTTGTTTAAGAGAAGAAAATATGCAGCCTAAATACACCGGGTTTTGTGTTAACCATGTGTGAATGAAACAAAACACAACTCCAGGAGCATTTTTGATGAGGAAACAGCATTACAACATACTGCAGATCTGTAAATAGCAAAATATGGAGCCTTTAAAATGTGAAATAACTACTTTTTTCATGTTAACCACACTAAAAAGGAGCAAAGGATCATGGTCTATGTAGTTATCCATGATATTCTGACTAATATCTGAAAATAATAAAGATAACTACTGTAAAAGTAATGTAATGTAACACTTCCCAACATTAAAAATATTGCAGTAACTGGACTGAATAAATCCTGGCTCAGATCGCCCACATGGACCAACCTCACCTCTTCCACAAACTAAAACACACAAATAAACCATTAGCTGTTTACTCTGCACTTAGACCTCCCTCTCCCCAGACGCCTCCCAGAGCGGAGTGCGTGGACCACGGCCCAGTACACAGTGGCTCTAGTCTGTCCACTGCTCTCTGAAGTCTAGTATTTATAGTAGCTGTCTCTGGAGGAATGAGGTAATCCAAACCAAATGGGCCAAAACAGGAGCGACCGGGACAGGAAGTGATGTCACGGATCTCGCCCTCCCTCCGAAATCCCCCTCCAGACTTGCGTTTACAACTAAGGGGGCAAAGAGACACCAAAAGAAAGCAAGAAATCATAGATAAAAATGATAAAAATACACTGAAATGATGTGAACAAAGATATAAAAAAACAGGCTGCGAGATTAAAAGGTGCTATATTATGCAAAACAAATCAGAAAATAGCGTTTTTAATAGCTGCAATTATTTATCTATTATAACGTTCATGTCAAACAGCAAATGATTCGGTCTCTATGGAGTTCTATATATATCTTTTAATCGAGGATCTCTGGGGATTCTTGTATTAGTTCAGCAGTTCAGATTTCAGTCGTCTGTCAAATGCTAATACTCCTGGATGTGTTTGAAGTCACTGTGAACTGAAAATAAACTGTAAAAGATAAAGTACAATTACAACAAAATATCTGTCAGAAAGAAAAACAAAGTAATCCCAGAATATACAGTACTGGAAGCAAAATGAAATGGAGAAATGATGTTCTGAATATAGCTAATACTGAAAGAAGAAATAAACTATGAAATAAGTGAAGGAAATATTGAGACTTTTAATAAACTGTTGAAGTACTTTGTTGAAGTACATTTGTTTACACTCTACAATGCCTTTCTACAGATTACAGAAGTATTTGTAGCTTGATAAAATCAGCACATTCACAATTTCTATAAACAATATTTACAGTTTTGGTAAAGTCCAAAAATCAAAATTGTATTTCTCCCTAGTACTACTATTATTACTACTGCTATTACTACAAAGAACTACTATGACTACTATGAAAACTATGCAACTACTACAACTACTAACTACTAACTACGAACTACTGCATACTACCACTACTGCTACTACTACTGCTACCAACTACTACTAAGACTACTGCAACTACTCGGACTGCGACCCACTACTACTAACTACTACTTACTACTACTACTAACTACTAACTACTACTACTACCTACTACCTACTACCTACTACCTACTACTACTACTACTACTACTACTACTACTACTACTACTACTGCTGCTGCTGCTGCTACTACTACTGCTACTGCTACTGCTGCTACTGCTACTGCTACTACTACTATTACTGCTACTACTACTACTGCTGCTGCTGCTACTGCTGCTGCTACTACTACTACTGCTACTGCTGCTGCTGCTACTGCTGCTGCTGCTGCTGCTGCTACTACTACTGCTACTACTACTGCTACTACTGCTACTACTACTACTACTACTACAAGCTGCTACTACTACTACGATGACCACTACTACTGCAACTACTACCCACTACTACTACATACTACTGCTACCTAACTACTGTTACCTACTACTACTGCTACTACCACCTAATGCCTACGACTATTACAACTACGACTACTGCAACTACTACCCACTACTACCCACTACTACTACATACTACTACAACAACTACTGTTGCAAACTACTGCTACCTACTACTAATACTTACACTAAATAGTACTCCTAAAACTACATTATAAAAAATGAAGATGAACCTTGCAGTCACAGTTTGCCCATAAATCTGAAAATACTTCAATATTCAGTTGATTGTCTCAAGTATTGAACCAAAATAATCAAAAAGTAAAATACAGTTCCATGCTGCTACAATGTGGATGTAAACAAACAGCGAACTCCACTCTGAGCCTCCATCGTTACTGCAGTACAATGAATGAAAGTACTTTAGTATTAGTACAAAGTTTAACAGCCCACACAGCTGAAATTCCTAACTTCCCACTTCCATACCAGGAATGCTCCCTCCTCCGTGTTTGTCCGTTACAGTGAGAAATATTTTAACTTTTATGGTTCAATTTGACAGATCAGAAACGCCAAAATATCCCAGCTATTTCTCCTTCACATCTGCATGACTTTAGCAGCTGCTGGGGCTCTTCCCAAACTCCGCCCCCTCCTCCCTGTTTCCAAACATGGCCGAACTCATAAACTTACCATTTTAGCTCTTCTCTTCTTCCTCCTTCTACAAAAATATAATCCAGTAAATTCCTCTTTGCAGATTGGCTCAGTTTTGGAAGATTTTGTGAGTCTAAATTTCAAAGTTTAGGTCCGTTCATTCAGATCTCTGCTCTCTCCAATCTCGGTTGCTGCTGTGGAACTGTCAAC